ATACTTCGAGGGTATGTTCCGATCGCTGCCCCCGCAGAACAACACAGTGACCATCACTATCGGAGAAATGGTTCCATCGGTTCAGTCGTTTGAGACACTATTGCGGTATATATACTATGGAGAGGTAATGATGCCACCGGAGGACAGCCTATACCTGTTCACTGCCCCCAACTTCTATGGCTTTACGAACAACCGGTTGCAGGCCTTCTGCAAACAGAACCTCGAGATGAACGTGACGTTTGAGAACGTGATCCCAATCCTGGAGGCGTCCGACAAGATTGGCGCCCAAGAGATGAAACGCCACGCACTCAGCCTTATTGTGCAGACTTTCCCCAAAGTAGTCAGACTCTCACGGTTTAGAGACCTCACCCGAGACCTGCTTTTGGATATTATTGACGCTCTCGCGGATAAGAGCGCTGAGGACAACGATATCCCTGTCCTCTCGAGTGGTATATCCACTGATACTATACTCAATATATGAGTTATGAATCGATTGTCAAATGATTATAGTTTTGTATTTCATTTTATTTATACATAATTGTAGCCAATTGTTCACAATTTATAGATCATTTAGTGTACAATATATACCATTTTTAATAGATTATTATTTTTCCAATTATTTATCTCAAGTATTGACACGAATTAGAGTCTATTTATTTTTAGATCAAATGTAATAAATATAATCTATTTTTGTGACTATTTTCCCAATAATTCCGATGATTATTGAAATCAAGAATGGCTCTCAAGTTCCCAGAACTTTCAAAACAAAATGTGAAACATATTGTACAAATATTTTTATGCCATTAACCCAATCATCAATTAAGTTATATTTGAATTGTAATTATGTTATATTTGATTAAAACATTTATTACTTTATTGTTTATTTGAGATACGAATAAATGAAAAGACATTTATTTGTCAGAATCGGTCCACAATTGTTTGAAATCGACGAGTCCTGGGATGTAATCAATGGATGCGTTACCGAAACAGTCAAACGCTTCCGGAAGTCGAAGCACTCGTGAAGTGATTGAAGATTCTGTGGATTCAGTGACCGGACTGTTGGGCAACAGAATGAATGTAACGGAAGCCGAATTGGATCGCAATTCTGTGATTCCCGGTTCAGTCAGACATATGTTGTCGTTCAGCACTGGATATACGGTTACACTCTGGAAGTGGGCGCCCGTCAGGTAGCCCTCAACCACTTTCCCCGTTAGTGTCACTACTATTGTGTCTGATTTTTATGGGACAAGAATTTATGAAAATATATTTTAAAAATAAACAAATATCTGGACAAACCTGTAGTTCTCTCGCTGTCCTGTAGTCCCAATTGAATCTTAGTCTGAGATATGGAGCCATTCTTGAAGTGGACATCATATGTGATCTCAAAGGGTGCGAACCTATAGAGTGTGAGACAACTCTCATTGCTGATGACATTGAAGTTGGTCCACAGTTTGTCCACTTCGGTGTTGATGTTCACGCAGTCCAAGTAATTCTCTCTTATGATCACATTTGTTGCTATGAGTGGCAATCAATTGCTATAACTTTATGACATAACAGTTATAATCAAATCTTATACTAACGTCTTCTGCTGTTATCTTCAGACTCCGGTTCCATTCGGTCTAATCCTATGAATAATTAATTAATTGAAATAAAACACAATTATCTCATGATTTCAGTCATAATGAATACCTTCTCCATAATCGCCCACATCTTCCTCTATAGTCTCTACAGAATCCACATCTCGTTTCCTATGAACGCCGGACTCAACGAATATAACAAATAATAAGATTAAGAATAGACTCAAGAATTTATTACAAATTCTATCCATTTTTATGAAATTTGTGCACAAAATTAATGATTTTTTAATAATGATATTGCAAAATATGTTCACTGAATTGAACACAATATTTAGCCCAAAATTTGTGAAACATATTTTTATGGATTTGGTGTCATTTTATTTTTTCAGATTTACTCTTTTAGAAAACATGTAAAACATGTTAATAATCATTACATATAACAGTTTAATAGTCGCTAATTACAAATCACACCCTATTTTTCATTATATCTAGTGTGTTAAACTCATTAACCATTGAATGCGAACCAAATTAATTGATTTTAGTATTAATTGCTTGTTTTAGATCTTTTGAGCGAAAAATTTAATTATGTAAACAATTGAATTTATAAATAATTAATTTTTTATAATTAATAAAGAATTTTATGGTACATAATATCTAGTAGAATCTGAAAAAGTGTTTGCTCATATAATTTATATTTGAATTAGTCAACTTTTAACAATCTTATTGTTTTCTAAAATTATTTCGATATTAAAATACTATAATTGAATACATTTTCTCACTTTATGATCTGATAAGAAATTATCTACTAACTTTACAGTAAATTCCATTAATTGCCTTTTGCCTAGGTCAGTTTCTACGTCATCTCGTCCTATGCCAAAATACTTATTGAATTTTATCTAATGTTAATACAATATTGGGTAATAAATATTCAGATGAATATTCAGTACATACTGTACACAGTGTACAATACAGTATAGTGCACATATAACAGTTTAATAGTCGCTAATTACAAATCACACCCTATTTTTCATTATATCTAGTGTGTTAAACTCATTAACCATTGAATGCGAACCAAATTAATTGATTTTAGTATTAATTGCTTGTTTTAAATCTTGTGAGCGAAAAATTTAATTATGTAAACAATTGAATTTATAAATCATTTATTTTTTATAATTAATAAAGAATTTTATGGCACATAATATCTAGTAGAATCTGAAAAAGTGTTTGCTCATATAAATTATATTTGAATTAGTTAACTTTTAACAAACTTATTGTTTTCTAAAATTATTTCGATATTAAAATACTATAATTGAATAAATTTGCTCACTTTATGATCTGATAAGAAATTATCTACTAACTTTAAAGTAAATTCCATTAATTTCTTTTTACCTAGGTCAGTTCCTACGTCATCTCGTCCTATGCCAAAATACTTATTGAATTTTATCTAATGTTAATACAATATTGGGTAATAAATATTCAGATGAATATTCAGTACATACTGTACACAGTGTACAATACAGTATAGTGCAATCCTTACTGTACANCTACGTCATCTCGTCCTATGCCAAAATACTTATTGAATTTTATCTAATGTTAATACAATATTGGGTAATAAATATTCAGATGAATATTCAGTACATACTGTACACAGTGTACAATACAGTATAGTGCAATCCTTACTGTACACTGTGTACTGTATAGTGCGAGTTCAGTTCGAAGATAACAAAAAAATATGAAAACAAAAATTAATTTGTAGTATCACTAAGTTTATACGGATTATTGTGTTTTTCTAAATGTCATCAATTGCAATTCTGGGTACAAAATGTATTTGTAGACGTGATAGTATTAGTTTATACATTTATATCCTGTGCCTAACGAATGGTAATAAGAATTTGACATATCCATGAATGTACATTTAGTTTATCGGTAAAAATACTAAGTTAAACAAACAGAATATGAGGCTAAGTATACTCTTGTGTCTATACTTTAACTCAAGTTAAGTAACTAATAGTGTACATTACGTAACGTTAGTTACGACTAGAGGTTATGTGAGCATAACTAAGAATTCGTACACAAAATTCATTTGAAACGCAAACCCACTGTAAAATTGGTTGATAGCTCCCTGTGTGGTACACTTTGATGGGAATCACACCTTCTGTTGCATCGAAACAAAATGTTTTTTGTATAAAAAGAAATTATTTTTACACTTAAAGACACTCAATTTGAAGGACAATCTAAATATCAAAAGTTATGCTCAAAATAATATTTTCTATTTGTTTAGCACTTTGTGTTTTAAACAATTTTTTTGTAAAATGTGATGAAAGTAGGAATTATGTCTATAATGCATTTAACTCGCGGCCTCCAAAATTCCGTAAACTTCTGTATTTATTCAAAGCGCTCTTAATGTTCTTGAGATATAAATTCTCAAACCTACTTAATGGCCTAGTCAATTTCCTCATAAAGTAACGTTTTCGTCTATAGTCTAACACAGAGCCATGGATTTCAAAATTGGTATATATTTTAAGCATATAATAATTATTGAAATGTATAAAACAAAATAATAAGTTATGATTGCATTGTGGACAGGCATCTCAATACCTGGAATTCGTGACGACAGGGAATAGAGTGCACTTCGAGACCACAGATACTCATAGAAGAGTGCATTTAGTGAATCTGGTTATCGGGGAACTCCTCACTAGGAATGGCACTTATATGAAGAATATAGGCGACGGTTTGTGGCTTATAATGGAAGAGAGCAGTTGGGAAACACCCGGACATATGAGCATTCAGAAAGCCGGTCAGAAATACATCCCTCTATTTGTTTGCAATTTATAGATGAAAAGCTGTTATTCATTGCCACTAATTATCATTTATATATTTGTAAATATCTGTACTTTGTTTGGAGAATAAGCTAAAAACTATATTTCCTATAAAAGTAACATTACAAGAATTCTCATTAGTTTTAAATATGATTCAATCATTCACAGACAGGCGTTAGTGATTTTAAATAAAAATTGATTCATGTGTTATTCTCCATAAGTTTATATGAAAGTATAACTAATAAGTTGACCAAGCTCAAACGCCTGTCTGTGAATGATTTATACATATGATTCTAACTTATTATTCACATAATGATATTCGGATTAAAATAATGGTCATATGGAATACAGTATATTACATATGATATGAATTGTTTAAATATAAATTGTACCCGTATTGATGACAATATATTGCTTACAGGTCCGGGACTTCCAGACCCCGATCAGAATATAATTGATCTACGAGTTGGGGAAATGGCGTCCACTGTTTCCATCATAAAACTATTGTTAAGGGATGAGTTGGATAAAGTGAACAAGATGTTTGTCAAACGGATCAACTATGAACTGAACAGACGTGTAGTATTGCCTTAGCCGCGTGAAAGAGACGGCCCGAAGGGATCTCACTGTCAATGGATGGCTGCACTACAGACCACGTATTGGTGTCCAAATCAAAGCTAACGCCAAATAAATACAGTTATCGTTAGTTTTCATAAAATACAACTCTTTAGAAATCTGATGATTAAAAATGAACGCGAGATTCTGTGTGACGGGTGACTATACGTTCAGGAATTTAATATATTATTTGTTTATAAATTATTGTTTAAAACCTGTGTCTCATGAGACCAAAGTCCAAAATCATAAACAAATCCAATATATTGTTTTACAATCAATTTTTATGTATTGTCAATACAGTATTGATTTGAAATGTCCAAAATTTATGAAATAATTTTATACGAGTAACTAGAGCATTATTTTTTATCAACGATACCGATGTCTATTTATTTATCATTTTCAAAACTATCATTTCAATGTTAATTATGCATTCAAATGGACATTACTTTCGCTTTTGTTGTTATCATTAAAAACAATCAATAAAACACATGGCATACCAGTGCAAATCGCTGGGAAGTGTGGAATCGGCGGCGCCTCCAAACACATACAGGTGTCGATCAAAGGCAACCATTGTGTGGCCGTAACGCCGAGTGGGTGGTGGAGGGGCTC